GATGTCATCGTCAATGCAGAAACATAAGCATAAACAGAACTTACATTCATTTACACTAGTGATCTACATCTCTTTTAAATCTCTCAGTGCAAAGTAGCTTCGTATCGACACCTGTGATACAAATAAGTTGGAGTGGGTCAGGTTGGGAAACCTGGTGAGTACATAGGGTTTTCAACCCACAATAATATAATTATTATATTTAAACATCAAACAATCAACCCGATTACCCATCCCCGTTATCTTCTTTAATATTCCTTAAATAATTATCTTAAGGGTCATCTCGTATATCATTTTTACCTCTCATCTTTTTACCTCACATTTCCTTATATGCTCGTTCCTAAGGCATGAATACGTAGTTACAACGTCGCCTGAACTCGTAATTCATAGTAAGGGTTAGAGTATCATCACATGAATATACAGTCACACCATCACCTGGACTCGTAATTCATCACCTACAGGTTATAAGTCTGCTGGTGTTTCCATGGGTTGTCTAGAATAGTCCGTGGTCGCCATCTATACTCTAGTAGATGACTACATCTCCAAATTGCCGGACACGGTTATAGTATCTTTCATCCTACATCACCGATTCATCATCACCTATCCATCACCTAATTATCATCACCTTCCTATCATCACCTATCTCTCATCATTTTATTTCATCACACACCAACTATTTCATCTACCCATGTTTTATCCCAACATATTTGTAGATATAAAATAAATATATATTTAAATCATTTAAAACATGTATAAAATCATTCATCCATCATAGACAGCAAGTATTCAGATAATATGCACACATAGCACGTAATTTATATAAAATACTTCATATCTATGTGTAAGATGAAAGAGACCATGCACTCACTTGAAAAAGGTGGTGAATCCGAACTCAGACAACGCTTCGCTTCTTAAAAATAATTTCCTTCGACGAAACCTAGTATTATTACCACTAGAGTTTAGTCTATTATTCGCCGAGACTAATTAATAGTCTAGCTATTATTACTATTATATAAGCGTTAAACAATACTTATATAACCCATAATAATAGCCCAAGTACTTATTATAAGTTCCTAATAACGTTACTATAATTAAATAAAAGCTATATTAAAAATAGCGTAGGCGTAGCTCACTTACAGCGGGTTTTATAGAAAATCGGGCTTTGCTTGGAGCAGCGTTCCCGAGCTCAAAAGCTCTTCTTATCGGAGCCGTCGAGCACTCCGGGGCTTCCGCCTCGTGCTAGGGAGGTTCCCTAGGCTTTTCGGGGGGTTTCGGGGCTAGAGAGAGAAACTAGTGAGAGAAAGAAAGAATGAGAAATGTGTGAAGAAAATGAGGGTGGGAGAGGTTTTATTTATAGGGTGAAAAATGGCTGAACTTGGTGCCACATGTCACCATCTAGTGGCAAGACTTGGGGAGAAAGCAATGGCCAAGATTGTGCCACATCACCCATTTTCGCACAGCACACTTCCGACTTCTAAAATCCGTAACTTTCACATACGCGCTCCATTTTTTACGTTCTTTATATCCACGCGTAGGTAAAAATAAGATCTACAACTTTCATTTTGACTCCGTCGGCTAATTCTCGACCGATCTTAAATTTAACAGTACGAGGAGATTATACTGTTAAATGTCCGCGTAAAATTCATAACTTCTACATACGGACTCTGTTTTTGTCTGTCTTTTTACCGTTGAGTTCCTATTAATGAGATCTTCAATTCTCATTTAGGTCGCGTAGGCCAAAAACCGCTCGATCTAAAATTCGAGTTTCGGGCTGTGCACTACTAAGCCAAATCCTAGAAAATTCATAACTTCCTCATACGAAGTCAGATTTGGGCGTTCTTTTTATGGAATCTCTCGGTTTAACGTATACTACAACTTTGGTTTAGATTACTAAGGCCAAAAATTCCTCCATCGTAAATTCACTATTTACGTCTCCCGGTGTCGTGTCGGTTTTGCCGTAAAACTTCGACGGACCATAACTTCTTCGTTATAACTCGGATTTCGGCGTTCTTTATATGTACGGAACCCTTGAGACGTATTATACAACTTGGTTAAGATTATTTATTCTAAATAATCTTTTGTCGAAAAGTCTTTTTCGACCCCTATTATCTCTAAATTGACTAGCCCGGATTTACGGGCGTTACAGCTGTTCTATATTGTGATATGTTATGAGTATGCTTATGCGTGGTTGGTATTTTGGGGGTAACTCACTAAGATTTCGAGCTTACAGTTTCAGTGTATTGTTTCAGGTACTTCAGGAGATCGTGACAAGGCGAAGGCGTGATCGTACCGCTCCTCATGTTTTATGATTTATGTGATATGGTTCCGGGGGATACTCTGATGTTTAAACTATTTTGAAAACGAGATGTATGAACTTAATGGTTTTTGAATGAATTAAAATTTTTTAATTTGGGTCAATTTTTATGGGTGTTACAAGTTGGTATCAGAGCCTTGGTTTGAGTGAATTGGAGGAACATTCGTGTGAATCCAGTCTCAAATCAAGGAGAGATTTTCAAAATGGTTTTCAAAAGGTTTTCGAAATAAGTAAAGGAGGATGCAGAGGGTACGATCAGCCAGAGCCAGTAAGTAGACCCCAAAATACCATGCAAGTTATTTGATTATGTGATATGTTAAAACAACATGCTAGTACTAGGCTAGGGATCTTATGGAATTGCATGATAGAATTGCCTGATTATATGATGCCTGCTAGCCTAGGGTCTTCCTTATATGAGATATTCAGCTTTCCTCTAGGGGTGAGGATGGAGTGCTTGTTATGTATGTTTGTGCTTAGGGCGTTGTGGTGATACTTGAGACAAATATGGGTAGGTGTGGAAGGTAGTATGGGCCCGTACTACTGAAAGCACAGGACCCATACGCGTGTCAAGGAAGTCACAACCCCTAAGTTGTTTGTTAGAGGTTAGTTATCGGAGGTTATGCGAGGTATCTGAGGTTCTTATGGTTCGTTTCAGTATGGCGATTACGAGACGTTTCGGGGCAGGATCCGGTTCGGGATCGGGATCAGGAGAGGGTGGTCAGGATGGAGCAGTGCCATCTGAGGTCATTGGTCAGATGAGTACGGATGAGTTGGATGCCAGGATTCGTGAAATCCTGCATGATGAGGTTGCGGCCATGTTTAGGGCTGAGTTGCCAAAGATGTTTGGGTCGATCAAGACCGCCATGGTTGAGTACTTTGATGAGCGCTATGCAGCTCTTGCAGAGACAGCTGCCGCGGCAGCTACAACGGCTGTAGCAGCGGCAGGGGGAGGAACCGGTCGGGGTTTTCAGTATCGGGACTTCGATAATACGAAGCCCCTACCTTTGATGGAGTTCAGGATCCTATCATTGCTATGAGATGGTTGTCAGACGTGGAGGGTTCTTTCTTCACGTGTTCATGCCCTGCGGATCAGAGGGTGAGGTGTGCTCCGAACCTTTTGAGGCTCGGAGCGAAGGATTGGTGGAGGTTGACTACGGGATCTTATTCTGATGAGCAGCGGGCTGCGGTTACTTGGGATCAGTTCCGGGAGATGTTAAGTACTCGTTATTGTTCCGCAGGTTGAGAGGGAGAGGTTGGCTCAGGAGTTCCTGGAGCTGAAGCAGGATTCGGAGTCGGTGACGGAGATCACCAGGATGTTTACTGAGAGGCGATGTTTTGCCCGGAGTTTGCTTCGGAGCAGGCTCAGATGTCCCGATATCTGAGTATGCTCAAGAGGGATATCCGACAGTTTGTGTCCACGCAGAGATGTGATACCTTGTTAGAGTTGCAAGAGGCCGCCAGGCGGCAGGAGTTAGAGATGGAGTTGCAGTTGCGAGAGCAGATGATTTGTTTGGGCTGGATGGTAGGGTATAACACATGATTCAAGAGTTTTGAAAGAAGTTGCATTCAATTCGACTTCTGGATTTCCATTTCCTCCACCGGGTTTGTAATCTTTATATAATTTTTATTATCAATCTTCTTTATATAATATGTGTCATACTCATTTGTAGGTAAATATTACCTTTGTGATGCCGCATATACAAACACTCGCGGGTTTATGGCTCCATACCGCAATACTAGGTATTGGTTAGCCGATTTTCGAAGAGGCAGACCTTTAACTAGAGAAGAAAGGTTCAATTATGCTCATGCACAACTTAGAAATGTTATTGAGCGTGCTTATGGTGTATTGAAGGCGAGATTCCCAATCTTAAAACAAATGGCTCCTTATCCTTTTACAGTGCAAAGAGACATAGTCATTGCTTGTGTCGCAGTCCATAATTTTATAAGGAAATACAATATAGAAGATGACTTGTTTACAAATTTTGAGGAGGACACTATGGTTACTCCTGACTTGTTGAATATATGCGTGTTTTGCGTAATCAGATTGCAAATCAACTACTTTCAGCTACTTTACATTAAATTATTATGTTATTTTAAATTTCATTATGTTTTTATTTGGATATTAAATTATTTATGTTTAATTTACATTTTGTATGACATTTTTTATTTGTGTGTAATTTACATTTTGTATGACAATATGTATGTTTTTATAATTATTCAGCAACTTCATCCATCACTATATATAACAGTAGGGTAAAATGGTCATTTTTCATCACTCAGCACATTGAGTCAGATGTACAATCAAACAACAAAATTTCTTACTCAGTCAGGATTTCTTACCCAGACATACCTTTCCCATTTAACATTTTCTCAGTCCGCAACTATCAAACGAGACGTTAGTAAAATGTATATTTATTTACAACATTCATGTTTATGCGAATAAAGCTAAATGATGCTTTTTATGGTATCGTAGAGAACTTCATGATGCAATAACAGAAGAAGGTACATTATAGTATCTAGATTGTTTCATTGATCAACGATTTTGACACAATTTATGGGACCGCTACTTTTGCGTTTTCCCACCGCTTTTTCACAACTTCATCGTGGGTCTATTTAAAAAGTATATTTCTTCTGGGCCAGCCCATCGGCTACTTTTTAGCCCAAAATATGAGGGATGTTTTTTCTTTTACCTCCGTCTCATCAATCACCGATCCAACGTTTTTTTTCTTCTTGCGACTTCCCTCCTGTTCTTGCCTGATCGGCAAATCTCCACCAATAAATTAAGCGACCAAGGCAGATTCTGGCTCTTGACCTCCGACCTGATAAGTAACATCTTTTTCCTTCAATGATTTTTGACTTCTGGTTCTCTACTTATGTAATTATCCACGATTGCTACAGTGTACTGAGTAGTGATTACTTGATTAGCTTAGAGTTCTTTATTTCGACTTTGACGGTAACTATTTGACTTCTGGAGTTGGGTTCTTTATCTGACTTTGGTTATTTGATTTTGACTTATTTGAATTGTGACTCAAGTTCTTTATTTGCACTTTTATTTTGACTTTGATAGTTTGAATTGTGATTGCTACATTGACTTTGACATTTTGATTCGATTTCAATAGTTGGTTACTGCCTTATTGAATGTTGGAACTTCATCAATGAAATTTCTTAACTTCATTAGTTCATTAATCGGTACTAGAACTTCATCAACCAAGTAACTCATTTGCAACTACTTTACTGCCTATAGTTAAAGTGTTATATACTAATGTTTCATATTTTGTTTTAGATTCGTTCATTATTGTGCATTCGAGAACCCGAACCCGGACCCACATACTGTTGAATTGTTACATAGAACATTGCGCTGCTTAACTGTTAAAAACCGATTTAATAGCACAAAATTCGTAATCAAGAGGGCTAAGTTTTGAATCATTGTTTTTCGTCCTGACATCATTAATCTCTGAACAGGGTAAGTGTAAATAATTTACTTACATGAGCTTATTGAGATAATGCTTCAGGTGGTTTATTCCACAAATAATGCTTTGAAGTTTGAACAATAAGGTTTTGTGATCTTTTGATCTGCTTTAACAAATTGGTTTAAAGCATTCTAGGTATTTATTAAAATGCCTGAATGAGAATGAATATAGAATTGTGGCTCATTAGATTTAGTATTTCCTGTATTTGTAAAGGGAGCTTTTTACTGTCATAGTGTATGTCATGAATATAAAAAGTCTTACATGAACAAAAATTCTAAAAAGTTTGTAATTTTCTCATTTCCTTCACTAGAGACCTGTAATCTCTAATCATAGTCTCCCTCTTCTTCTATATGCTCCTTTTCAATAGAAGCTTTGACAATTGCTCAATTAGGTTATATAGGTGCCTTCAGTAACTTGTTCTCATTATTTTTAATTCCTTTTTTTACAGGTTTTAGTTACATAAAAGAGGAGGATGAATTTTGCAGCTTCTTTGTGTAGAAGATTAACTGTTAGCAACCTGGTTACAAAAATTCCTGTCTACAGTTCTGCAAGAGGTACACCTCTTATAACCCTTTACTTTATTTTTTTATTTATTTTTTTGTCTTTCCATTATCTTCTTTTAATTGTGGTAACATTTTTTATTATTTTTAACTGAATGATAGATGTAACTGGAGATGGATTAAGCATGATATTCAGACGTTGGGCCACCAAAAAAACAGCTGGTTCAACAAAAACGGACGCGACTCAAAACCCAAGATGCTTGGTGTCAAGAAGTTCGGTGGCGAGGTTCAACTTAATTTCTAAATTCATATTAAATATTTAAATCCCATTTTTTTTCTTTTGTATTTATTTAAAAATTTGAAATACAGAGAGTGGTACCTGGTAATATCATTGTGAGACAAAGAGGCACTCGTTTCCACCCAGGAGATTATGTAGGAATGGAAAAAGATCATACACTTTATGCTTTGAAAGAAGGATGTGTGAAATTTGAACGCCATAAGCTTAGTGGACGCAAGTGGATCCATGTTGAACCCAAAGAAGGCCATGCACTTCACCCAATTTACGTGAAAGGTGTACCAGAGTCAAACACCACATCTTAGGTTGGCCTTTTTCTAAAGAAAATCTATAAATCATGTTTAATTAGTTCAACTTGAAAGATTTTTAAGTTTCATTTTGTTGACCTTTTGAATTTGGAATTTTTATTGAATAATTCATTGAGTTTTTGTGGGAAATTGTCAATTACTTGCAACTTGGCAAGTGTTTACTTCAATTGGTCTTTTACATAGACAAATCACTAAAGATATCTAAACATGTTTTATACTACTATACTTTATGCTAACAAACAAGTAGCAAAAAGATGTTCAATAGATTCAACAGTTTCATCACAAAGTGAGCAAATGCATGAGAGAATTATCCAAACCTCTATCGTTGAATTGAGTTTTTGTAGATAATCGATTTAAGTTAATTCGCCACCCTAAAATGTTTAATATAAAAGGTACAAATTTGTTCAACCTTGTAGAAGCATCTCTAGTAGCAAGAGTTGGGAACTTGATACATTGCCTTTTAGAACTGACCAAGAATCCTCCAAATTCTAAATCAAACATGTCAGAATGATGTGAAAAAAACAAAAAAAAAAAAAAAAACAAAAAAAACAAATAAAAGAAGAAATCAAGTCAATGTGACAAATGTTGACCTAAGGGTCTTTAGCTTACCGGTATCAAGAGTTGACGGGTATGTGCCATTAACCAAAAGGTGAGGGTTAAAAGTCCCGTTTGAGACGAAATGTATACACTTTATTGTTGAAGATGAATATCAAACAACTCATGTGTGGCGTATATCCCTATTTTGGGTTTGAAATTATTAGATGGTTTACATTTTGTTCATGTGAATATGTAGAAAATAAAGTGTTAGAAATGCTAAATTTGTTTTGTAATCATGTTCTCTTATAAAATTTTATTGTTTAAGATGAATATTAAAAAACTCATGAAACCTTCCAAAAAACCTATAAAAACGGTTGTTTACTATTTGAATATAACCGGAGTGCGAACTGCCAACTGGACATTTTGAATTGAACTATATAGTTTGGATATTCGAATTTGTATATTGGTTTCGACTAAAACCAAATTATTATTTTGAATATTATATTTATTTTGGTTACTAAAGTGAGAATAGGATAATTAAACAAAACCGATTTCTTATTTATTTATTTATATTTATATTTTTAATATATATTTTTATAACTAGTTATTATTTATTAACTTTTTATTTTTACAAATTGGCCCATTTTAGTTTTTGTCTATTTGAATTAAGCAATTCGGGCTTGTTAGTATGTAATTTATATATTTTGTTGTAATGTTCTTAAAAACCGTTTCAACTGAATTATGAATGAGTTGGTGCGTATGGGATATATACTTAAATTCAAACTATTCAGGTTCATAATTTAAAAACTGAAATCAATATAGATTTACTAGATGGATTAAACCTACCCATTCAAACGAACATTCCTACCCATAAGGCATGTGTCAGCAAAAGGGAAAAAAAACAAGAAAAATATTTGCGTGTTTACGATTGTCATGAAAACGTGCTTTCGTCGTACATATACGTATAAGGGCCCACACAAAGATATATAGAGTTAATGTAAACCGTCTTGTAGGTTTACCTATAAGAGTAGACAAACACGTACATTACACATTGATAGTCAATTGTATGTACGGAGCCCGCAACAACTTGTTTTCATCTTTTACACATACAACCAAAATTGAATGAGCAAAGCTTTTCCTTGAAACAATACAAGTAGGTGTTTGGGATGGATAAGTTATAAGTCATAAGTATTGGGTTTGGGTTTGAGTTTAGGTTGGCCATATACAGGCTGTCGCCATGCTTCAACTTTGTTAAATTTCAATGCTCATGTCAAGTTTTGTCTCTATCCATCTTTTTGGTACCTGTATTCATTAATGATTAATCTGTTACTTGCTGACAAAAGAACAGCCGGATATTTAATATTTATAAATATATTGATATCGTTTGGTTAATAAAAATATTAAAATGTATGTTGATAGCATCAAGGTTGTCAAGATCAGGATCCTACGTAGGATCGTTTTTGAGTTTGCAAGATCGAGATCGTAAGATTGGGATCGGGATCGGGATCCTAAGATCCCACAAAATAAAATATAATTTTAATTTATAATTTTTAATCTTGAAAAATAGTTCAAACATTCAATTTTTCGTTTAAAAGTTATAAAAACTTCAAAATATTAGTCATAAGTCGCAACACAAAATGATAAATGCTAAATTGGTAAGGGTAAAAGACATAAAGTGGTAAAAAAACTCATTTGCAAAAAAAAAAATAAAAAAATAAAATAAAATCAAGGGAGGTAGGATCGGATCGGATCTCGATCCTACAATCCTACTTACGATCTTACGATCCTACCCGCGATCCTACCCCAAATACGATCTTTTGACGATCCGGATCGTTTTTCATACCTAGGATCGTAGGATCGTACAATCCTACGATCAAGATCGCGATTTTAACAACCATTGATACCATTTTAAAAATCATTTCTTTAAATTTGAAAATCCAAATCAATTAGTATAAAAATTAAATTCTTGTTGATCATAATGGCCTCCTTGGTGAACCGTGTTTTGGATCTAAAATAATAATCCTATCCAATGTTTTAAAAACCATTTTTTTAGTTGAAACGGTATGGTGACTGGTTCCCGGTTTAACCAGTTCGATCGTCGGGTGAACCGGTTTCTATATTTTTCATGTTTTTTTCTATTTTCCTACACATACATACATATTTAAATTATAAATTTGATGTTTACAAGTTCAAACATTAAAAATACACATAAAAAAAAGTTGTAAATGAATCCAAAATACATTAAAATAACACATTACCATAAGTTTTAGTGTTTTACATCAATCCATATACGTAAAAAAAAAGTATAATACCGAAACAAAATATAGTTTTAGATAAATACAAACACATCAAAAACTTTATAACATTTATCATATGTTTTTATTTAGAGAAAACTAAATAGATTTGAAAAAAAAAATCATCAAAGTTTATTATCTAAATGGTTTTTCTTCATGTGTTTTTATTCGGTTTAACCGGTTCAACCGGGTTTTTCTAAAACCCGGCCGGTTCAATCCGGTTCAGAAATCAGTGTAAAACCGGTGATAATTGAACCGCTCCCTCCCCCGATTTCTGATCCAACCGGTTTGACCGATCGGTTCAAACCGGTTTTTAAAACATTGATCCTATCTATTTTTCGAGGGTCTCGTGGAAAAAAAAATATTTAAAAAACTAATCCATTTTTTACTTTATACGTAATGTGGGTTACCCTTTTTTATATTAGTTACCCTTTAAAACTCATATATTAATATATCTTTATTATATAGGAAATTGATTTATAAATTTTAATTTTCTAAAAAACCAACATTAATATCGAAATAGTATTTTTTAGTAAAATACAAATTCTATAAATCAACATTAATTTGTGATTTTAAAATTAAAATTTTGGATGGATAAGGAAAGGGCGGCATGAGAATGGAATTGGAGATTGATTTACAATTGAGGAGATAGTAATCCCAGGGATGTCATTTTAATTACATTATATTCATTTGAAACTTTTATGATTTTTCAAGTGTTTTTAGCAATGATCGTAACATTGTTCATTTAACACTAAAATTTGTCAAAATCGAAACTCGGTGTGAAAATCGAAATTTTATGGTAAAAAAACCATTAGTGTTAAATGAACCATTAGCAACTTTTCTAATTACTTTTGTTCTAAATTGGTTGTGTGATAAATGCAAAATAAAATGATACTCACTATTACATGTCTTCTATAACTAATTAAGAATTTTAAAGTCAACTCTCATATTTATGTTTATAATGACCAAAATGTAACACACACAAATTATAATAAAAAAACAAAACAAAAGAAAGAAATTTGAATGTTCATAATTCACAAATATCACAATCTTCTTATTTATAAACTAAGAAGATTAATAAAAGATCTAATATAGTTTAAAACGTTTGTTGTTGTCATATTTTAATGATAAGACTTATGTTCGATTTCAAAAAAAAAAAAATTTAAAAATAAAATAAATAGGTATGAGGCTTGTCTATCTTTTGAAAAAGAAAAAAAAAGTCTAGTTTTTATTACTAGAAATAAATTCCAATTAATATCAAATCTTACAAAAACCTACAAATCAAACGCCCGACACTATTTTACTTTGTATATAATTTTCATTATTAATTTTAGGGTTTAGGTCATTTTGGTCACTTAACTTTTGGTTTTGTGTTCATTTTGTTACTTAACACTTTTTAAGTTTTAAAATGTCATCAAACTTTTGGTTTTGTGCTCATTTAGTCACTAAACTTTTAAATTTTTTTAAAAGTTCAATGAGTAAATAAGAACAATTTTAAAAGTTAGGTGATTAAATGAGCACAAATCCAAAAGTTAAGTGACTAAATGAGCACAAAACCAAAAGTTTAATGACATTTTAAAACTTAAAAAGAGTTAAGTGACCAAATAAACACAAAACCAAAAGTTAAGTGACCAAAAATACTTTAAACCTTTAATTCTAACTACTAGGTGTGAGACATGTGTATTACACGGGTTGATTAAAAAAAAGAATTAAATATTAAAGTGTAAACAATAAATGTTTTTTAAAGTAAAACTTTAAAATAAAGAAGGAAGAACCGTATTAATTGCAATCTAATATCATATTTAATACTTTACATAAGTATATGATTTTTTAATTTTAAAAATTGAAACAAATCATAAATTAATAAGTGGATAATATTTATTTCAAAAATACCAGAAAATAACAAATATCAAAACTTATGAGGGACTAAAATGTGACAAAATAGATTTTTATTTGTAAGACTTATGTATTACATGAGTTTATTTTAAAAAAATTAAATATAAATGTCTAAATATTTGAAAAGTTTGAAATTATAAGAAAGATGAGAAAAATATTGAACTATTAAAATTGAAGTGTTTTTTTTTCTTTTAAATTTAAATAAATAATTTAGATAAATAAAAAAGTTAAATTAATAAGATTTTAATATAGAAAATTTGAAATTAAAATATAAGTTCATTAATGAAATTGATATTCATATATTATTATATTTATTGCAATTATTATATCTAAATATTACGTGGAATTCAATGAAATGGACAAAATCATAAAATGACATTTGGACAAAAATTATTTTAAAATAACAACAAAATAACATATGACAAAACAACGAGAATATGACATATGATAAAATATTTTTATTTATTATAATAGATGAGTAACGCATAAAAATTCGTAAAATATGTATTAAACCGGAATAGAAGGAAATGAAAGAACTCCAACAAAAGAACCTGAGGAGTAGATTTAGGGTCTTTTCCTCCCAATTATTATTGATCTTTTGATTGGGATTCATCCCCATGAATCAACCCATTTACCCCTCCACCCGACGTCGGCCCATCCTCATATCTATAAAAAAAAATATTGTATTTGATTTTACTATATTTACGTTTGTGTGTATGTAAGTATGTTTATTGTGGTGATATTTAATTTTATAAATTAAAAACAGTTAATATCGATAAACCATGAAAGATTTTATAACTAAAACGAATCGCTAATTTGTGGCTAAATATGTTTGCCGTTAATTTGTCGGTTTGTGGTTGTTTAATGCGTGTAAAGTGTCAAATCAACGATGATTCATCGTTAAATTGTGGTGTTCCATAATTACTAATCTTCTCGCTAAAAAATAGGGGTGTATATTGGGCAGCGATTTGGTTCGGTTATTGGTCAAAACCAAACCATAACCATTACAACTGGTTAATGTATTTCAATAACTATTGGGTAACGGTTAATATTGGTTTTGGATAACGGTTTTAGTCGGTTAATGGTTATGGCTAACGGTTGATATTGGTTAACCATAATGGTCCAAAATGACATAAATATAAAAATATTTTTCTGTAAAAATTAAAAAACATAAATCCATTGTTATAAAAAAATGAATGATTGTGTATATATAACTATATTGGTAGAAGATTACTTATCATATCTAGTTCCAAGTAATTTCCCTAAAAAATTTCAATTCTCATATTACATACATTATACTTTATCTGTCCTATATTTAATATTTATTGTCCACTTTTGACTTTTAAAGTATTTATTAATTAACTTTGACGGTAAATATTTTTATTTGTGTTATAAATTACATGATAAAACTTATAACAATGAAAAGACATTTAAAACACAATGAATTCATATATTCTGCCTCAAGTATTATATATCAAAAACAAAAATATTTAAGGTCAATGTTGAAGAATAAATACGTCAAAAGTCAAAAATAGATAATAAATATGAGATAGGGGAGTATTTAATATTATATTATATTAAAAATATTTATTAATATTATTGGTTCGGTTCGGTTAATAGTGGTTCGGTTTTTGATAAAAACCATAATCGAACCATATATATTCGGTTAATCAAAATTAGAAACCACACCATATCTTTTAGTAATGGTTCAGTTATATTGGTTAATTTGGTTATGGTTCGGTTTTTCGGTTAATATGCTCACCCCTACTCAAAAATTAGCAACCAACGTATACTCACAAGATAATTTTATGATCTGTTTCATGAATTGGTGATGTCTGAACTCCTTTTTTGTAGTGTTAATTGGTTTTATATATATATCGCTCTTTATTAAAACTTAAAAATGATAATTCACAATCAAGTTTAAAAGTATCATTAGAAATACGAATGCTACTAATGGTTTTTTTTTTGGGAGAAGTCCACTAGAATATAGATGACTGGAATGGTGGCCAACTGCCGATTGGTGTGTTCTTGTAGAAAACTAGCATGTGAAGAAGTTGAGGTTTGAAACATAAAAGAAACCGCAAGTTGATTAGCTATGGTAGCTGTTAGGTATAGCATATGGTACTTTATTGTTAATTATTCGACTATATGTATTAGAGTAGTTGTTGACGAAATTTAAGTTAAGTTTCCAAAGCAATCACTCATAAAGAAAAAGGCATATATGCAGAACAATTGAAAAATGCAACTAGGTTAAAAGTAAGAGATTATAAGGATAATTTTTAGACTAATTGACAACGAATAATCTTAACTTTTCAGTTTTGGTCTTAATTAGTTTCGGCATTTGTATAGTTTGTCTGGTTATACTACAATATAGTCGTGTATTAGTAGTTGAATTACTAGCCTTTGACTTAACATATTCCTTGTGGGAGACCATGACGCTATTTTTTTTTTACCATGCCTTCTAGAAAAGGTATTATTTAATCTTAGGAGTTAAGTAAATGGTATTATTTTATTAATGCTAACATCAATGCATGTAAGAGTCTCGTACCAAAATAAAAATATTACATGTTCACTATTCACTAACATGTCATTTAATTACCTGGCTTTACTAATATCGATCAAGGTTTGCATTGATTGTACCCCGTTGAGTTACAATTAAAATGAAACCGAGCTTTGAAATAAGAACAATTAGGTCGATTCTAATCTTCAAAGTGTTCATCAATACTCTCTGTAGTTCTCAAATATAATTGATTCACCTTTTAAAAATTCTTGCTTAAGAGTTAAAACCATCAATCGATAGGTTAAAACAACAACAGCACAAATTATCGCATGCCATATATCCAAATGATTAACTTATTTCTCCAAAATAACTACTTATTCATATTGTAAATTATTTAGATTAAATTTCTAATTTTCTAGAAGTCTGAGAAAGTATATCATAAAGTAATGATTAATGATAATGGCCGAAGGGATCTAAAAGTAAAAGTTTATATGCAAGTTGCTCCTTCTACTTGCATGCTCCCCCCAACCAAATTCAAACTAATTGCATGCAACTTGCAATCGCATTCCCAATCCTCACATATACATACATTATATATATATATATATATATATATATATATATATATATATTATATATATATATATATATATATATATATATATATATATATATACGGTACGTACCACAGTGTCGGTTCATTTAAAGATTCAAGCAATGCTTTCCTCGGTTCAAGTCCAAAGAATTCAAGAAAACAACAACCTCAAAACCACCGTGAACCACCGCAATCATTCCTCTACCACCACTACCATATGGAGAGTTACACCGTCTATTTACCTCCCCGAATACCTCCACCACCACCACACTCACGCGGTGGGTCAAAACCAGTGTTCTTCCACAATAACCTTGTCGATCTCCGCCCCCATGGAAACTGTCTGGTCGGTCGTCCGTCGCTTCGACAACCCACAGGCGTATAAACACTTTCTTAAGAGCTGTCACGTCATCGTCGGAGACGGTGACGTGGGATCCGTAAGGGAGGTCCAAGTGGTGTCGGGGTTGCCGGCCGGATCCAGCATGGAGCGGCTTGAGATCCTTGATGATGAACACCATGTCATGAGCTTCAGCGTCGTCGGTGGAGACCATCGCCTGAAAAACTACCGGTCTGTCACCACGCTCCATTCTTTACCGACGTGTGGCGGAAACACCATCGTCGTGGAGTCGTACGTTGTGGACGTGCCGCCGGAAAACACCAAGGAAGAGACGTGTGTGTTCGTCGATACCATTGTACGATGTAACTTGCAGTCACTCAAGCAAATGGCTGAAAATTTAACCCATAATTAGTTACTCTGCATTTTATTGGACTACTTTTTAGCTAATTGGTCATTGGTATAATTTTCTTATGTTTTTTCGTGGGATTTTTATCAGGTTGGTATTTCATGGTGTAATGTTATGAAATATCCTAGATTACTCTCATGTTTAATAGAATATTATGTTCCTAATTCCTTCTCTCACTATTAGTTTTAATGTTTAAAAATGAATATGTAATGCCGTTCAAAAAAAAAATGAGAATTATTTTTAACTTGGAAAACTACATTTCGTACATCACACCTAACTTATAACACTCCAACAAAAGAATTATAAGACTACAACAAACGAAATATTCACCCACTCCCCTCCCTATACATGAGTAATGGTCTTTACCCACGGTTTTTCCACGACATCAAATTTGTGGGTAAATGCTCGTGGGTAACCTTTTCCCTGGAATTACCTACATATATAATACCCATAAATTTACCACATAACATTTACATATAGAATTACCCACGAATTATCCACATAGTTGTTTCCATGACTTTTCCACATGTTATATGTCTTCAGTAGGCCATATGTAATCCGTCATAATTGCTTTATTAATTAGTAAAACAAAACATATGGACAAATAAAGGCGGCACAAATAGGGGCGATACAGAATTTAGGGGCGACATCTAACTGGATGTGTGTGATGTCACCCCTAATGCTTGTGTTGTCATATTGATTGTCATGTCGCCCCTAATGCCTATATTGCCCCTATTGGTGTCGCAGTAAATGTTGTGGAAAAAGAAGACAACGATGTTTTCCCCTCTTACTTTTCATGTCTCCCTTGTTGCTTATGTTCTCAATCCACGTGCTCTCTTTCTGTATAATTCAATCCGTTTATTTTTCAGATAATCCAATGGTTTGATATCTATTATGAGTATATGTGTGATATCCAAGGTACAACTACCACCACCACTGTAACAACCAGGTTCTTAATGTGTTTTTCCATTTTTTTGATTTATGGTTGTAAAGTCCAAGGAAGGGTTGAAGCGAGGAACGAAGCAGATTGAACAAGGGAATTAATCACAAATTTTCAAGAAATAAGCATGAAGAAGTAGGGCGCCCATGAGGAGTTGTTGGGCGCCTCTGTTTTTTAATCAGAGACAACTATTTGTCGTATTGGAGGTCAGGCGCCCATGCCCATAGGTTGATGTCATTTTCTCAGGATGTGGGCCTATTTAAGGGCATTTAACCTAGAATTTCGTCATTTGTATCCCCCATCACCTCCTTGAGCACCTCTAATGAAACCCTAGAGTCTCTTGAAGCATGGGAGCTCATCCTCTCTCCTAAACCCATTTTTGGTGTTGTTTTGATGCTTTTGAGTGAAGAAAAGAAGAAAGATTGATCTTGTAAGTATTTCTTCTGGAGTTTTCAGCCTTCATATCATCTTTAGACCTTTGTAAGTTTCAAAGATCTGAGTTTATGTGCTTCCATCCATAGATTTAGAAGTTAGTGGTGTATTTGGTCCATTTTGTATGTTTTGAGCTTCTTGAGATTTGTTCCAAATAGATGAAAGAACTCCAGAGCCTTGGAGTATTATTTTGGTCCATATCTGGTCACTTGATGGGGAAATGAGTGCATGCAAGAGCTCTTCTTGCCCCTTTGCATGAAATAAGTGCATTTTGTGCACTTTTGGGGCTCAGGGTTTTAGATTTTGTTTGTTTTGGACATTACTAATGGATAAAGTTTGAAACTTTATCTGTTAAGACATCAAGGGGAATCGGATATGAAGGTTGGAACTTTTGATTTAATAGATTAAGTTGATATTAGAACTGTTTGGGCAAAAGACGTGGGGCACGTTTTAGAGACACTATAACGCCCCGAATTTCAACATAAAATTTTCAATTAAATCTTTAAGTGTTTATTCAAATCACAACTACAATATCTAAAAACACTTATCAGAGTATCATTTAAAAGTTATCATGTACAGAAGTCCCTATTGATGCGATGCAATCGAGCCGTGCCCCTCATTTATTATAAGAAAACCTGAAACATTTAAACCATAAATCGTAAGCATAGAGCTTAGTGAGTTCCCCAAAATATCACATATAACAAAACACAAATAAACAATTATGGGTTATCATCAATCTTGGGGACTGTCAGCAGTCCTAGTGGGCAAACAACATGCCCGGTGGGTTATCAGCAACCCTGGAGACTATCAGTAGTCTGAATGGGCAAACAGCACACCCGGTGGATTATTAGCAACCTTGGAGACTATCAGCAGTCTTAGTACACAATATCACATATCACAGTAAAAACAACTAAGGCCCAGCTGATCATCACACATATCTATATATTACCACACATGCTCATACAAACATGTAAGAGTCACAAAGACAACTACCATCCTACATACATAATTTAGTGAGCCGAAATTGGTGTCTTTGACTAACAAGCTGTAACACTGTAAATTTTCAAAACAAATTTTCTTTTGAAAAACATATGATTCTCAATACACATTTCATAAAACATCATTTGTTTAGTTTACAAAACACAATCCCTTTTTAATTACTTAATAATCCAGGATCCTCAAAACATGATTCTTTCACTGGTGTGTACAATCAAGCTGGTGTCGTCCCGAGATACTGAGAAAACCTGAAACACATAACACATAACACGGTAAGCACGAAGCTTAGTGAGTTCCCCAAAATACCACATATAACACATATAAGCCACTCGAGGCTATAACTTTGTGGACCCTCCGGTCCTAACTCTGTGGACCCTCTGGTCCTAACTCTGTGAACCTTCCGGTTCCAACTCTGTAAACTCTGGAACATACACAACATAAATCACATAGAAATAATGCAGTGCATCACAATCACATAAATAGCATACAAGATACTCTGTCATATAACTCTAATTACCACTCTAGGTAAAGTATAGTGAGAAGACTCACCTCGGGTAACTCGGTAATCTCGAACCCTGTAAAATCTGGTCTAGCCTCCGCCTAATCATATGAAATAAACACTCTAAATCAATACATCTCTCAAGGCTAGACTATTCCCTCTCTTAGTACTCTCAGAAGGGTAAAAGACCATTTTACCCCTCTCATGGCTCAAGGACCCTAAAGTTGACCAAACCCTAAAAGTCAACAAAAGTCAACTCTCCGGGTTACGCTGCGCGTACCAAACATGTACGCTGGGCGTACCCGACATCCTTACAGAAACGGGGTGCGCGACCCCTTACGCCGCGCGTACTGGGATTACGCCCCGCGTAACTCCCAGTTTCAGACTCTAAGCTCTTGAGGTCTTAAACAGTTAAGACCCACGTCTAACTTCTAGATCTGACCATTTCTAAGCCTCTTAATCCATAAAGTTGGTGACTTTAAGCCTTTGCATGGCTGGACAAGTCACTAACACCCATAACATTCCATTTCCCAACTCTAGAAAGCTCATAATTCAAGCATGACCTCATAACAACGACCAAGATGGAATTTTTATGGATCTATAACACAATTATCACTGAAATGGGACAGATCTAGGTCCATGGAGTACATTACACTCATAAAGTCTCCACCTTTGGGACTTATAACCCTAGAAATGGTCCATGCAACATCAAACCAAATAAAGAGGAAAGTTTTGAACTTTATACCTCTAGATGAAGCTCCTTTCTCTGAAGATCTCAGATCCAAACTTGCACTTCAAGCCCTAGCCTCCACAAGCTCTTCTCCTTCTTCTTCACTAACACACCAAGACACTTTTAGCTCCAAAACACACACACTCAAGTTAAGGACGATGGAAGGCTCTCTCTTAGGGTTTCAGTCTCTGATATGGAGGCTGAGAAATGAGCCTTAGCATCCTTTAAATAGTGCACAAGCCAAACATTTAGGGTTTGCATCTGGACCCGTTACGCCCAGCGTAACCCTGGGTACGCCCAGCGTACCCAGGCGAGTCCGCATCCAAATTAAGCGCATGAGTACGCGCAGCGTACTCCCCAGTACGCCCAGCGTACTCATTTGCTACAAGAACTATCTCAAGGGACCAATCTTGACAACTTGACAAAATGGAAGGGTTAAATAGCTTTACCTGAATTTCGGGATGTTACACAAGCATAGGGAGGAGACTCACCCGAATCGAAGAACCCTGAAACACTACGACATAATCCCTTCTCTGCACTACTTGCACCCGCAAATCCACTAATACCAAAACCAGATAAAATCTTAATTAATAACCCAAAACCCTTAAGTTTGACCCTATGTCAAACTTAGTCAAAAACTCAACGGTCAACGAAAGTAAAAGTCAACAAGTCAAACTTTAGGCTGAGTACGCCCAACATACTCAGCTCGTACGCATAACATACTCACCATCCAGGGACGGGACTCGTCACGAGTACACGCAGCGTACCCAAAGGTATGCCCAACGTACTCGGTCAAAAGGCACCTTTCCATTAAGTGCTTAATCTCATAAGCCCTTTCATCCAACACTTAGATCTAGTCCCACAACATCATTCTAAGTCATAAAGTTTCCCCCTTTTATGACTTTCCATGTCTAGAAAAGGTCCAAAAGCCAAAACCTTAACTTATTAATCCATTAAGACATCATCACACTTTCATGGAAGGAATGGAAGGATCAAGATCACATTTTTATGGATCCTAAAAGCTCCATAATGGATAAAGTTTCCAACTTTATCCAATATAATGGTTCAAACCACCAAGATCTAGCCTTTAAGTATCAAATGGACCAAAATTGCGTCTTTTTCAACTTAAGTCTAAGTCTCCAACCTTCATATCTGAATCACAATGATGTTTAGATGGATAAAGTTTCCGACTTTATCCATAAAAATGTCACAAAATTTCAAGATCTAAACTTTATGCACTAAAATGACCAAAAGCTCATAACATCCAAAACTAGCTAGATCTAACAAATGCATCATCAAGATTCAAACTTTATACCTCTAGAAGAGAGATCAAGGTGAACAAAGTCCGGATCTACAAGCTCCAATGCAACCAACACTTCTCCAAAGAGTTCCTTCTTTTCTAAGTTACA